GGTTTGGCAAGTAAACATTACAGATTGCGTAATTCAAAGTTGGCCGAGTGGAGATCTGCGTCTGGTCCCCGACAAAAAAATAAAAATAAAGAAAAATAAACCAAGGGTAGAACATGAACCGCGCTCGGCCCATGGCCGCGCGGTTAATTAATTTGAACAAAGACCCTTAACCAAGTGGGAAAGAATCTGACACTTGGAAAACCTGCAGCACCTGACTCCCATAAGAGAAAGAAACACACCACAAAAGGACTTTGTGACTCATTAAAAAGGGTTTCAAGATTTCAAGATGGGATTAAGGCCCTGTTCTCCACCGCCTCTATTTCTATTATGAAATAACTAAATGTGACGTTATGAAGGAATTTACATGGCCTCCTTTAAAATGGCTATAAAATATTAAAAGCCTGCACACAAGCAATTTCAACATCCCTCAAACATTACACAAAGAAAGGAAAAACCTAAGATCACAGACAGCAAGACAAACCAGAAGAAATATAATCTGAGAATCAAAGTTAAGTCAAATTTTAATTTGGGAAATACATGTAAGATGCAGTGAAAGTTCGCATAAACATTTCTGTCACTTTGAAGTACAGCTGTTCTTGACTAAGCAGACAATACGAGTTTTTAACTCACTTTTGTCATTCAGCATAACTGGACAAGGCTATTCAAATTTTGATGGCTTTTGTTTTAAGCTCATGCGTTCTTAGAAGAATTCCGATGCATTCGAACAAAGTACTGTGTATTCAAAAGTGAACTCTTTTCAAACGCTTATATTTGGTAAATTTTGGCTCAAATGATATCAAGTCGCTTTGCGACAAAACGTCGTGCAGGTTATAATATTGAAAAAATATACATTAAATAAAGACCAGTTAACATGTATCGATAATTGGCAAGGATTTGGATAAGATAAAGAAATTATCAAAAAAAAACTTAATCTTACTTGAGCTAATAAGCTTAATTTAGCTAACATGACCGAAGCTGACAAATTTCTTCACCGGTCTGCAGTTTGCACCTAAGATCGTAAAACTAGCTAATTAACAGTATAAGGCTACAAAATTACACGCTAGATAATTTAACAGTTGGCATACCATGACAGGTCCAGTGATGTTTTGTTCGCAAACATGACAGGTCGATAGAAATTTTGCGGTGTAGTCTTTCCTGCAATAGAGCGTCTTGCCACGCGCAAAATATGTCGACGACAGTTGCCTCTTACACCCTGAACACCTAAAACAGAAAGGTTCTGTCACTGAAAGGACGTGCAGACACAAAGGAATGCGGATTTTCGAAAGAAGATAGCTTGACTTACTTGAAGCAATCAAGATGCCATTTTCCGTGCAAGGCTTGAATCGTTTGCTCGTTAGCTTGTAGCGGATTTCCACAAAACAAGCAAGTCGCGCCTTCCACTGTGGATACAACAAGAAAAATATTATTACGAGCTCAAGTGCAGAGTAACCGTGACAAGAAATAATATTGACTGACCTAGCATTTCTTTCGCCATCGCAATTTATGGCTCGGTGGCTGCACAGCTAGCAGCTGTGATGCGCAATATCTCGTACCCCATAGCCGCCATGTCGTAGCCGAGCGCCAAGGAACCTAGCCTGAAATTTACAGGCCTGGCTGCAAATGTTCTTCCAATTTTAGCTCGCGCGCGATTGGTCTAGATGCGTCAGGTGACTGTATATTTGAGTACTAGCATATGGTGAATCTGGGAATGTATGAGTACGCTCTCGGAAAACAGTTTCCTTCTCGGAACTTATAATGTCCTCGGACAAATATCCGAGCATATTTTCACGCCAAATGGAGGCTATTGTTTATAGCTTATTTTTCGCTCGAAATTGAGGCTATTGTTTATATAATTACCAATAGCTGGTTTTCACATGACGTCACTAAAATTCGAACTACAAAACTATTGATCTTCCTGAGATTTTACTTAAATGATGTATAAGAGCAGCTGAAA